ATGCATGGCACCCTGATTATTAAGGGCCCTTTTGATTCTATTAAAACCCTTTCCAGACTGGAGAGGACTGTTTCTAAACCTACCATGGGCTCCTTCCTAACCGAAAACGGGCCCTTTCTAAGTCTGCGATGGGCTTTTTCTGATTGGAGATAGGTCATTTCCAGGCCTAAACTTACACTGGCGTTTCTCATCTGGAAATGGAATTGCTTTATTAATCATAGGTATCTGGTATCCAGGTATCAAATAACTGGAAATGCCTTGTTGTTTTCAAGTCTTGAGCATCATGTTCAAAAACATCTTCGAATGCTTAAAATCATCTCTGTTCTCTGAACTCTATCTGTGACATTTTTCTCAACCTCACTGTTTTCTTTTTTATTCTAGCTCATCCACATCTCTTTACTTTTCTGTCCATAAACACCTTACTATGTGGCTTCAATGTCAAATGATAACGCGTTTAATCCATTTGCTTCAAACATTGATGGTAGTGATACTTCATTATCACATGAGGATTATGAAAAACTAAGAGAGGCTACCTGAAAAGGTAAAACATACTATTCCACGTGACATCAGTACACCAAACCTTATGCGTGTTAACGTAGGCGCAATCCTGAAGAAGCAGGATGATTTACGTAGTATGCTTACCCAGACTGACTAACGTTTAAAGGTCGCCCAACACCCCTTCAGCTCAGGGCTCGAGCAATGCCTAATTTGGCTTAAAAAATGAACAAAGTAACGTTTATTACTGGTGATTTCAACTCCGCGATGTTCTCACTCGATATCAATCCTTATGTGCAAGCACTTTTCACTCGGTTGTAGGTTATTGGGTGGTCTAGCGGGCTGTCATTAGCTGGCTTTGTTTAATGACTACTGTAAGCCTTCTCATGTATGATTTGTCCTTGCATGTTGCATAACACAATGCCCTCGGGTGTGCACCACCTTCTCGCCTGCTTCCCTATGTTTTTTGCCTCTTCCTAGCTGGGAGTGCCGCGACTTGAATTTATGTTTTGTGATGTTGACATGCGGCTTATTGCCTCACTGGGATAGAGGGAGGGGCACTCCTGGTTACATATTCTTGTGTAACGGTATATAAAACATGGTCCCTTTAAGACCTGGGACGGACCAATCATAAGTTGAAGGCAGGCCGTAGGTCGGGGGTGGGGCACCAGAGGCACACATGTCTCCCTGTTGGTCCAGATGGGCAATTTGGACTCCTTGGGACCGACGACGAAGGGTTCGACTAGGGTCTCGAAGAGTTGGCTAGAGGCTGTACCAAGGGATCCCGGCCCGCAAATGTCCATTGGAGGGTTTCTTGTGCCGGCTGGGCACCGCTGGGGACAACGAGGACCCGCGAGTCGATCCACGACCATAAGTTTCAAACAGTAGCCTGTAGCGGCGTATGGTTAATTTTCAAAGCAGGGACCATCCTGGGGCCAGCGACTGTCAGCTAGAGGGCCTTTTGCATTGGTCGATGTCCTGAGGAAATGAAGGACCGCTTTGTTGGTCGGGGGGGGGGGGGGGGTGGCACAGTGCGCTTTACAGGTGACCCTATGTTGGCAGGGCCCCAAGTCGGCCATAGATCCGTTTTCTGAATAGGGACAGGAACGTTGCCTCGAACGTTGGGGTTGACTGGGGGTCGCTGATGCTGAATGGAAGTAGGATAAATTACAATGAAAGGGTTCATAATAAGAGAATAAAAGAGCCCTGTGTCAGATACGGGCCAAAGAATTAGCGTAGCCCGGAACCTCCACACCACTTCGGCCAGGAGCCCGATGAACCGAACTGGAGTCATCCACCAATTATTGGAGCGCCGTTAAGCGGTCCTTTGACGTCCATGAGTCTCCGTGCGTTGGTGAATCAACTGCTCCGGTCTGAGGGCCTTCCGCGCCAGGCAGGAGACCAATGCGTGATGCATCCTTCATCGGCCCTTCCGATCGACCAGGGGGCCCCGGCAACCGTTTCTCAAGAGTAGTAGCCGGTAAGTCCCCGGGGTGGTGTGTTGGAGAGGAAATACCCTTCAAACGTGACTGGGAAAGGCAAAAGGGCCCCCTAGTGTTCTACTTACGGGCCTTCCTGTCCGCGAAAGGTCAGGGGTTTCCTGAGTGTTCAATCCTGCGGGCCCCTCAACGAACGCATTCGTCGGCACGATGGTACCAAACGAATGAAGGTTTGGTCCCTCGAAATAAAATGCGAGATTTGGTGATTTTTCAGGGAGCTTTTCACTGGGAGCCCTTTATCAAGCCATGCGCCACCCCTTCTAACCGAAACTTTGACTGCTGTGGTGTAAGATGGAGCTTGTGGGATCTGATATAGGCTGTTCTCCAGCTGATGTGTTTGGATGGACACTTTCCGGACCCGAATGCCCACTTTCTCAGTCTAAGACATGCCATTTCCTGATTGAACAAGGGCCCTACCTGAGTATGCGATCGGCCATTTCCAGACTTCGGAGGGCCCTTTCTGCGCTCACGAATGGCCCCATCCAGGTTAGAGACAGACCCCTTCGTAGTTTGCGATAGGACTGTTCTGATCAGAGACCCTTTTCGACCCTTTTCGAGTTTACAAGGGACCATTTTCAGATCGAAAAAGACCTTTTTCCCTTGCCTGAAACTGTTATAGGCTCTTCCGGCCTCGAAATTGATCCTTTCCAAGCCCAGATGAGCTCTCTTTCCTTACTTGATTGGCACGCCATAAACGAACTCCTTCCACAAATTCGCCAGGAGCCCATTTAAACCACCAGAAATATGGGGGGAGGGAAGATAGTTTTGACCTTTTCCATGCAAGGGGGACAGTTGTCGTCGCGGATACACCGCCACTGGCTTTCTGAGTCTGCGATTGGCCCGCACCAGAACAGAACATGGGCTCTTCCCAGGCCCAAAAAGTGAGATGGACCTTTTCCGAGCCAAGAGTTCTTCGTTTCTCAGCCTGTACTGGGTTCCTACCTGGCTTGAGACGAGCCTATTCTGAATTTATGGTGGACTCTTTCCAGGCTTAAGGGGGCCATCTCTGAGTATACGGCAGGCTCTTTTCCCGAACTAAGACTTTCCTGAGCTCACGATGAGCCGTCTCTAGACCCGAAAGGGGTCCTACCGTGCCTGGAAATGACATAAATGTTTTCCCGCCTTGAAACGAACCATGTCTAAGATGTAAGATGTAAGATGTAAGATGAAATGTGTTGGCGCACATGAAATGACCCTCTTCTGAATTTAAAATGGGCATTTCTGGACCGAAAATGGGCCTATACGCCTGTTTCGGTAACACAGTAGCGAGTACTACCACATACCCCAGGGCGCCCTCTGGGCCGCTCGAAATTATGGTGGGGGGAAGATATTTTACCCCCCCCCCAAAAGGTGGGGACAATTTGTCCCCGTCGCCACTGCCATGGCTGAAGTTTTAGCCAGTGCGTCACTATGGACCATGAGGGCGGCTTGAAAGTAGTCATAATGGTAAACGCCGTAGGAAGACAGCAAAGCCATAGTATTGTGGCGATTTCTCGAGCCGGAAGCGCCTACTTCAACTCAAAATTATCGGCTGCTGAGAAGCATTTCCAGAAAACAGGTATTTCTTTGTGTTGATATTTTTGTATATGATATTAATATGTACATGTATATATATATTATATATATATATATATATATATATATATATATCTCTCTCTCTCTCCTCTCTCTCTCTCTCTCTCTCTCTCTCTCTCTCTCTCTCTCTCTCTCTCTCTCTCTCTCTCTCTCTCTCTCTCTTCTCTCTCTCTCTCTCTCTCTCTCTCTCTCTCTCTCTCTCTCTCTCTCTCCTCTCTCTCTCTCTCTCTCTCTCTCTCTCTCTCTCTCTCTCTCTCTTCTCTCTCTCTTTCTCTCCTCTTTTCTCTCTCTTTCTCTCTCTCTTCTCTCTCTCTTCTCTCTCTCTTTCTCTCTCTTCTCTCTCTCTCTCTTCTCTCTCTCTTTCTCTCTCTCTTTTCTCTCTTCTCTCTCTTTCTCTCTCTCTCTCTCTCTCTCTCTCGCTCTCTCTCTCTCTCTCTCTTCTCTCTCTCTTCTCTCTCTCTTCTCTCTCTCTCTCGAGGTCGATGAAATCGTTTTTTTCTTTTTATGACATTGTTGATTTCACGCTTGTGGCTAGACGAATACAAAAAGTGTTCTATGCCGACGTTATGGCTTTTTGTCACGATTTCTGATGTAAAGAAATGCTAGTTTCTGAGACTGCTGTAATGAAAAATTACGTTGATGGTGATAACGGCATTTCTCGTCTGCTTTGAAATCGTTCGTTATTATAAACAGCTGTCAAGATCATTTGTAGCAGAACAGTTTAGTCGCATATTTTGGGTGTTGTAACCGGAGGCATAGCCAGAGTTTTCTTAGGGTGAGGAGCCAGTCAGCACCTGCATAAAGGCCTATGATGAAAACAAAAATTTGCAAAAATATTGCCGCCTGAAAGAAAAAAAATTTCGCCAGAAGTAAACATAATGCAAATCAGTTGGATGTGCAGCAACTCTTACGCGTGTAAAACATACTTTGTGGTTCCCAGCCCCAGATTGTTCGCAATGCGAATGCGACCTTCCCATACTCGGTGACCCCGAATGGTGGCATTGAGATGGGATGGCCGACATCCGGAGCAGGCACACCACCAGAGTCACGGCGCGCCGTCACTCTACACACATCGAGGACGTGACCAGAATGGGCGGACCAGCCAGTCAACGGATGTGTCTGCCCCTAGTTGTGATGTCGGGCGGCACGGCCGCTGCAGTGACGCGCCCGCACCGCGGCCCCTACAGGCCATCTGAGCTGCACGGTCCGGGACGGTCACACCCCGCCCGACCGCGGCCCAACCCCGCTCGACCCCTGGCTTCTGACCTCGTGCAAGGTCAGCGGGCTGCTCCCGCCATTCAGGCACGGCTGACGTCAGAAGTGGTGCAGTGACGTCTGACGCGGCGATTGGTCGTGTTCCAGGCGGCCGGTTACGTCACGGTCAGGCCGCGCGCGGCGGCCGGCCAGCCAGGCAGTCAGCGCGGTGTCGGCGGGCGGGCAGCGCGCGCGGGCCAGCGGTGTGACCGGCCAGCGGGTGACGGCGCCGCCATGCGAAACAGGACCCTACTGCGATGGCTCTTTTGTGGCATTGTGCTCGGATCGCTCAGCGCGGGACGCGGCCAAGGTAAGCCGGGTGAGGCGCGCGAGGAACGGCAGGCCTCCTGGGGCGGCGCCGCTGGGGGCGGCGGCGGCATGAGCGCTGGGGCGGCTGGGATGACTGCCCCCAACCGGCACTGAGCACCCCTGGGGGGAGCAGTGGGGAGCTGGGGCGGTTTTGTCACGGAGCCAGCGCCAGCTAGCTGGGGCGCGTTCCGGCCCGCCAGCCACTGGTGCCGTGGTGGCGTAAGCGGCCTCGCCGACAGCGCGAGCGGCGGCGTGGACCGCCTCTCTAACCGCGTCGTCACGTGTATACTGTTAATCTCCGGGCCACGGCAAGGAGCGTCCTAAGTCCCGGTCATTGAAAGCCTCCTGTGGCAAGCCATGTTTCACCCGGTCATTGAAAAACTCTTCCCCTGGAGAATGCTATTCATTTGCCACTTCGACCTGTGTGAGGCGTACCCTGGACGTCTTGTAGTATGCGCTTCCGGAGAAATGTGTTCTGCGGCCGTCTCTTTAAAGTGTGCGTGGTACCTCCAGTACGGTTGCGTCGCTTTAGTTGGTGCTTGGAAGCTGTGTGTTTAGGTTTCACAGTTTTTGGTCAATTGAACACCTGCACGAAACTATTTTCGACAATGAAGATGATGTTTATTAACACGCGCCCGGATGGCCGGTTGGATACCGTTGACTCGGGCGGGGGTTAATTTAACCCACTGAGATCTCGGAAACTAAGAGAGCTAGACACCAAATTCACAGAATGTGTCGACCTGTACGTGAACTCTCTTAGGTCCAAGTTTGAGGTTCCTAGGCTATGATCTTTGGGTCAAATAAGGTCAAACAATGCCGAATTCCAGATTGGTCTCCAAAGGGTCCCTAGAACCTAGGCAACTGTTCTGTGAAAAATGCCACACGCTCACTTGAGGTCAGTGACCTTTTTAGACTTGTTAAAGATCATGATGACCGAAATAATGTAAGACTGTTTTGAGTTTTGCACTTGGAAAAGGGACAAAGATTACGCTAGGCAGTATGTGCCTAAAAACAAACTGTTGACCTGAGTCATTTCAGGTCAGTGACCTATTCTTACGTATGAGAAGTCCATGGAAGGTGTGTAATGCGGTTCCAGCGATCAGTATATTTGAAATGAGCGCCAGAAACCATCCCATACAGCAAACTCGAGAGTAATAAAACAAGTTGGCTTTGACCTTGGTCTGACCTTCATGACTGACCTTAGGTCAATGCTATTTGCTTATTCAATTGTTGTGTTGCCTAAGAAAGCATCTCAGAGATGTCTGGCTTTGTCTAACACTCCGTTGTTTGATCGGATTGAACAATGCCCTAGAACGTGCCTTCGCTGAAACCATGGCCTGACTTTGACCTACCATAGGTCAACGACCTTACAAGGTGCATCTAAATTACTGATGTCAGACGATCCACTATTCAATTTTCTACAGCTATGTAAAGATTGGCACGGCTACACCGCGCCGTTCAGAAACCATTCCGGGAAAACCTTCGAGTGGATCATTTTGACCCCCACCCGAGCGCGTGTTAATACTTCAAGAGCAGGTGACCGTCTTGTTGCGTGAGCCCTCGCGTCACAAACTTAGTGCACTTTGAGAGACGTGGTCGGAAAGATTATCTCAGGTTGTGAAATCCTCACGTTTGCAACCCGACAGGTTGTATGTTGGAATATATCTCACCACGCTCAAGGATATCGCTCATGCAGTGTCTACTCTCTACCCTAGCGTGCACGAACAGTTTGACATTCAGTTCTGTCAAGAGATTGTAGTGGTACGTTTTCGGTGTCTTCGGGGCTGGACATCCGTTATGCACCTCAGGCAGTGTTTTTTCCCGCACATGTATGGCTGTCTCACGCGGATTTATAAGGGAGAGGAATCGTTTTTCAGATCGTTCCTTAGCGGCTTGGGATGTCCAGAGTTGCCACCGAGAAAACTCGCGCGCGGCCCGTTACACCGATAGGAGCTTTGAGCGAGCGGTGCCTGCGCGGCCGCCCGTCTGACCGAGACATTATCATTACCATCAGTCATTGTCATGGCCGCTGATGGCGCGTTAAAATCCGCTCCGACCATGGCGTCCACGCTAGGGCAACCTTCAGAGCACGCGCCTCGGGATTACGCAGCTGGCAGCGGCGGCCATGGAGTCCATGAAGGTAATGAACGCGTTCGTTACCGAATTTGACAACTTTTTTGTGCTTTATCACCGGCTCGTTTTGTGTCGCAACGCCACGTGATGTTCAGCGCGCTGGTAGTTGGTCAATGCAGCAGAACGTTCAGACCCAATTCGCGTCTGGCCCGCGCTGAGGGAACAAATAACGCACGGGCCGGACAAACGAGAAAAAGGTCCGGAGAAAGGATATATATGTTCTTGTTTTTACCACGTAACACTGTTGGAGACACTGTTGTCATGCACTCAGATTTATTTTATGGAGCATGAAGCCGTCAAGCATCCACTATCTCCTCAAGTTATCTATTGGTGTCAAAGGCCCACACTGCTGTGAACGGGTTTGTTTACCGTTGTTTGAATGCGGGATGCTGAATCCTGGTTAGGAAATGCCGCAATGACATCTGCTACACACCACCCATTATCGGATGAAATAAATCGCATGCATATTTTGGCACTTACGGTGACACGGTATCCAATGTGGATGACTCGCTGTCTCGTCTCGTTCCGCACGACTGACACCCACCGTGTCGTTTCTGCATTCGCCATCGCAGGACCGCTTCGGTGGTGTACTTTTGCCTACAGCTATAATTCATATATATATATATATATATATATATATATATATATATATATATATATATATATATATACACATATATCGTGTTGGCGTCCCTGACCATGAGCACTTCAGTGGCTCACTCTTCATAGGGTTTGACCATCCTTTGGCTCATTGGTTTTACGAACATGCGCCTGCCTACATTTTCGACTGATGTCGTTTACAAATTAGATTGCATGCACCTAGCGTTTGCTCCATCGCCTGGGTTCTCTGCGGAGCGTGCAGTGATGCGTACCCTTCAGCAGTCATAATATCTGCACTCCTGCCCCACTTGTGTTACTCCGGCCGCTCCGGACGGCTGGCTCCTGCTCTGACGTACGTGCCTGTTCCAGGCCCTAAAGCCGAGCAGCTGTTCTCCTCGGAAAGAACGGCGGGAGGCGACCCCGTTAAGTTTGATTTCCCACTTTTCCTTTTCTTCTCTGGCTGTTCCAGTTATTTTCCACGGCATCGGATTTCCAGAACAATCCTGATCGAAAAATGAATGAAGCGCGACTGTACTAATTATACGTGAATACCTGATTCCAAAATTGTTCTGGCGATGCTTCTTTCAAAGACATGCATCTGAGTCCAGCTCAGTTCTTAATACCGGGAGCTCCTTCCCCCCTCCCCCCAAGAAATGGACAGATTTTCTCCTGGAATAGCGGCCCTCCTACGAAGCGACAACATGATCCACGGGACTTTTCTGAATGCCGTCGTAATGATATTCTGTTTCATACTTAAATCACTATCGAGAGACCATCTTTACGTACACCGTAGATTAGAAGGCACAGGTAGTAAAATGGTACCACAGAGCAAAATCAGCCTTCATCACCCGACGGCAAAACGCCACTTCAAACACACCCTCAAAACAGTTAACACGAGAAATTAGGTTCAGTGTCACAAGTAAAACCCTTCGAAGAGCAGTAAAGCTGGTAAATCTAGTCCAAGGAAACGAGCCAAACAAATCCCGACAGAGATTGCAAAAGCAAGGCAGGTCTTGCTGCGAAACCCCTATCAATCCGTCCGTCGGCCCGGGAAGGAATAGGCTGCAGTAAGACCACCGTGCAAGACAACAGCTCACTCTGTTCTCATGCTTACATCATAAGCTGTCACTAGCCGATTATGACGCGCGCATGGGCCAGAGTGGCTCGTTTTTTCGATGGTGCGGCTCTAACCGCTCGCGCGTTGATCAGTTTGCCGAAAAGGCCCGCCTTCATTTGGACGGTAAGCAAGCATCCAGAACCATCGTTCTCAGCCTCCCGCGACCCCCAATAGGGCTCGCAAAGCACCACTGCACAGTGGAAAGTGCACCACCTGGTGCTCCATCAACACTTGAGGCGTCACTGGCCCATCAGGGTGCAGGACAGCTGAGAGCTACACTGACTGCAATGGCTAAACGGTACTTAACGAACCCTTACAAGTTCTGGGTGGCTTTGCGAAAGTTTGCCATAAAAAACTGCTACGCTAGAGACTTCAGCAGGATACGGTGACGGCACACTTGTCGAAGAAGACGAAATAGTGGCCCAGACAGTGGGTTGGACCGAAACTGAGTCTGCTGAAGTAACCAAATAACCCACGCGCACATTTCCTTGATTTTAGTCCTACATGTTTCTTTCCGTTGGGGTATTTGGAGTTGCAGATATACTCATAGAGCTGAAAAACTATCATGGACCTAAAACATATTGTGGCGTTATTTTGGTAGCAAAAGGTCGTGCGTTACAATGCCTGGAGCGAGGTAAGGTTCGCATGGAACACGTGATACACTGTCCTAGTCAAGAAGGGCGTGGAGAGCCTGGTGGTCGGGTACAAAATGGCATCGAATGCTCTTTACATCGATGCATTATTCATGTTACAAAGCAAATCAATGTCTTAAGTATGGATGAATTAGATCCGTCCACTCTCGTGGTGAACCCTGTACTTTTTACATATGCACGTGATAACCGCTCGAAGACTTGCGAAATACTTTGAGATCGCTTGAAACAATCGACGCTGGCAATAATTTTCACCTTCCCATACGTAGAGATGTCATTATTTGTTATTTTTGGTGACCGAATGACTGTTTTCATTTGCAAGTCGATATTTCACCTTCAGATTAGCCAGGAGCGTGCTTTTGCTAAACTAAGTGAGAACAGTTGGATACAAAGGTCTATTCCTTTCACAACACTGCCACAACAGAACATTTTTAAAATACAGATAGTGTTTTCCTGAACAGTGGCTATCTTGTTGCAGACCAATTAATAATATATCGATAT